GGAAAACTTCTCATCTCAAGTCAACCATCCTTCGTCAGGAACACTAGAAGCGACAAGAGATTAAGTGGAAAGTGGTTGGGCCAAGGAGAGGGAATAACAATCAAGGTAAAGACGCTCAGGCAGTAAAAGTTCCTTTCAACCACTTAAGAGGAAAATTGAGCCATAAAAGACTGGATGGCAATTATGAAGACTTCTATTGAATTTTTTTTTAGCTCTCCTCCAACTTGGCTTATGCGGTCCTTCGTTTTGGAATTTTAGAGATGGAGTTTTCTTTGGCGTTTGTCGAATGGTAAATGCCCATTAATTTTCACTAAATGGACCGACATGCCACACTGATGTTTGATTCGGAGAAGGGGGCAACGAGAGTTATCATTATAACAACGGGTTCTTGAATGTATAGTCGCTCTCGATTTTTTTAGCATTTTACTTACATATTTTCTGTTACTTTTTTATCCAACACTTATAAATAAAAATTATAGACTGTAAAGTTTCTTTTTTATCATAAATGAAACATTAAATTTTTTTATCATTCGCACCTTTTTTCTTGTATTTTACCTTTGTTATGAGTAATTTTTGTTTTTGAACCTTGTATTGAATGATTGATGAGTTGGCATGTTAAGAGAATTCTCGATATATCTACTAAGTTACTACCTGACTCATGTCTTAAACCTCCCATATCGTGGGAGCTCGATTAGGTCATCTCTTTGGATGAACCCACCTTAAGACGAACATATTAAGCGGGTCTTGTTGTAGTCTTCATGGAAGTAATCATCTAAACTCAATATTTAGTTGATTTGTATGCTATCTACAATGAATTTTATAAAAGATGGGTTAGGAAGATTGTTGCTAGAGCTTGAACAGTTTTGAGCTATGAGACATGAGATTTTATGATGCATGAGCATTGCGAGTTGGATCTTATATATTATTCCAATTGGATGTTGAACGTCTTTGTCAGTTTCTAAAAAAAATATTATTGATTAAATGCTACATGTTATTTTAAATTTGTGAGAAAACTTTACTGATCAGACATTATTTATCATTTTTTCATAAGACATTTTACCAATTGAACGTTACCCATCATTGTTGATTTTATTGCTCGGGTGGAATCGCTGCCAATGGGTTGATTTGAGTTCCCCAAATATCAGTTGGGTTTTTATGATCCCCTGGATGAACTTCTCATGTTTTCTAACTGTTGGTTGCACTTGGAATCAAATTCATGGGTAGAAGAAATTTTACTTCATTAATTTTATAGAATTGAGAATAAAATATAGGATAAGAATTGCAACACATTTTTATTATCAAAATACACAATCTTTACTAGGGATTAAATATCTTCAAATTTTCCCCACTCCATGTCCAAGGAACTCCTTTTCCCTTGTAGGTCTTCAGTTTATATGCTCTCTGGTTGACCCTCTCTTTGATGATGAATCGCCCGGTACACTTCTGGTCATCTGGTTGACCCTATCTTTGATGATGAATCGCCCGGTACACTTCTGGTCAAGCTTTCTCATGGCTTGTTCTCATACGGTTAGGTTAGCATTGTTTAGTGTAAGTTCTCTGATGGTGAAAGTCTTCTATCGAACATGCGTATTATAGTATAGAGTCATCTGTCTCTTCATTCTCCTTGCTTAAATGCTTAGTCAGCTTGTTTCTCCTTTGAAGGTTGAGTGTGAGTGTCACACCTTTGTCATTAGCTTCATGCCACTTGGTTAAATCTGCTTCATTAAATGTTGAAGCTACCACCACTTTGTAGATGTGATGGTTTAATTCAATAAGTATCTCCGCCTCTATCCCGTTTGATAGCATAAACATGATTTGTCGGATCACGGTGAAAGATGTCATTTAGGCCGCCCAAAGTATAGAAGATAGAACCTCAACCAAATTTTCTTTAGCTCCTTAAACTTTTTTCTATAGAAAAATTAGGAAGATTTTATTTTCTGCTTGGGCATGGCCATTCGTTTAAGGATGGTGGATGGAAACAATCTTCAAGTTAATCCCTTGACTTAAGCAAAAACATTTTACCCTTTGATCGACAAATTGTGTTCTACTGTCTATCATAGTTATGAATGATAACACATACCAATAGATTGTTTCAGTCTAAATAAAATTTTAGATGACTTTCATGGTGATTCGAGGGAGTATTTTATTATCGACTTGCTTTGTAAAGTAATCTACAACAATGAGCAAAAACTTTTTCTAGCCCTGTGATGGGAGGAAGAGTCCAAGAATATTGAGTCCCTAGACAATGAATAGCCATGTACTAGCAATGGGATGTAATTTGTGAGTTAGATGATGTTGTAGCGATGCATATAATTATGGCATAACTCACACCTTCTTGAGAATCCCTTGATGTCCTTCTGCAGTATTTGATGTGTAGAAAAGGCTGCTTAAATTTCTTTATATTTTGCACATTTGTATGGATGAAATTGCACTTTAAAGAAATGCCTTTTTATGTTATTTCTTGCAGGTACAATAGGTATTATAAGTGGAGCAAGTGGAGAGAACATGGAGCAATGCGGAGGAGACTTGGAGCTAAGAAGGCTACAAGGGATGAGCGCCTAGGTGCTAGAATTCTTGGGCACCTAGGCACCAGTTCCAGACCTGGGAACCCGAGAGGCTGGAAATTAAGCATCAGCCATTGGGCGCCTAGGTACCACTTCACTAGCACCTTGGCACCAGATTTATGGGTGCCTAGGCGTCCATGCCCGATTAGGCAAACATAGGTACGAACACCTAGGTGCTAGCCCCTTGGCGCCAGAAATTATCTAGGAAGTTTTCATTAGTTTCATGCACAGGATTTAGGGAGTTATTCAGCCGTTTAAAGAGTTATTAGGAGGAGTTTATGCAGCCTATTTTGGAGGATTAAAGTAAGAAAGGAAAGGAGGAGAAAAGCTTTGTTATGGGATAGGTTTCATTGATTATTTGGTGAGGATTTTGAGTTGTATTGTGTGGCGAGTATTCAGGAGAGCAGCAAGGGATCAGGAGATCGATGGGGTTGCATTCTCAGAGCTTTATAAATAATAGGAAGATAAGTATTGTGTATTTTTCTTATTGTATTTATGTAAACACAATTATTTAGTAGATTTTTTTGGTTCAAATGATTCCTTGTGGTGTGCAGTTATGTAAACACAATTATTTAGTGGATTTTTTTGGTTCAAATGATTCCTTGTGGTGTGCACTTTATGTTTTCTACATAGTTCCATTTTACTTTTCCTTGTGATGGTTGAGTAAGATGTGTAGGAGTGCAAAGTGTTTTTAAAATTGGTTTTTAAAATTTAATGTGAAGAGTAACTTTCTGAATTTTATTTACTTTTGATTATGGTAATGTGAATTTGAAAAATGTATTGTGATCCATAATGACTCGGGCTATCAACAATCCTTAACAAACATATAACAAACATGGCTATGTGGTCGGTCGGATTGGTCTGCCCCTTGTAGGATTTTGGTGCTAGGATCTTAAATAGCTCTAGAGTTTTGGCCTTAGCTATGAGAATGAATTTTGGTCTTGTTGGCTTGTTTCATATGGCTTTGCACTTTTGCTCATGTGCACTTCATGACCTCTTGGGAATTGGTTAGCCTTCACCGTACTCTTCCCTTCTGGACCTTTAGATCCTTTCAAGATCAGCGCTGACACATTTTAAATATACAATATGATCTTATGATTAGCCCTATCATGCATGTTATTTGTTGTACAAATTCTAATGAAGTTTGTGCATATTTTTTTATTTTTTATTTTGAAGGAATAAATATTTTCATATAAATCAATAACTAGAATTTTTTATTTTGAAGGAATAAATATTTTCATATAAATCAATAACTAGGTTAGTATGTATTAAATTTGATCAAAATAATAATAAAATATTTTTTTTATTTCATCATGGTATTTTTTTTATAATATAAAATTTATATATCATATTCTTGTATGTATGTTGAACGTATTGTAGATGGAATCCTTTTTATTTGTTTAGGTGAGCTAGAGATCCTCATATTGCTAATTGATTAAAAAGCATTGAATAACTATGGATTGGCAAAAGCCTTTTCGATATAGACATGCTATAGATATATAAATAAAAAACTACTATGATAACTAATAACGAGTTATTATAAAGCTGTTAAAATAATATGCTTTTAAAAAGATATTATAATATTTGAATGCAATGATTGTCATTTTGCCTATGCAAACAAATTTCTGTATATGTGTATTTAAACAGGGGCAGAATGATCATTTTATCGGAAACAACTGCCCCACAATTATTTTCACACAGCTGCAATAAACAGACAACCATCTTCCCTGCAACAACATCCCCACAACAGCTCCTTGGGGTATTAGAGCTGCAGCTGCCCCAAACAGGCCCTTAGATGAACCAGCAATACGTCTCATTTCAATTCGTGTTTCCTCACTTCTATGTTTTGACAAAATCGGCTAAGGGTAATACTGTAATTTTAAAATATTGAAAAAAAAAGGCCATAAACTAAAAAACAAATCCACCAGTCTCATTTCAATTCGTGTTTCCTCACTTCTATGCTTTGACAAAATCGGCTAAGGGTAATACTATAATTTTAAAATATTGAAAAAAAAGGCCATAAACTAAAAAACAAATCCACCAAAGATAGTGGGAAGATTTACTACATACCACTTAATTCCATCGTATTTACATATCAAACGCCCAAACTTCAATTTTTACATATATATACCACTTTGCCTATGCATAAAAAGATTTAACATTTTTTGGATGTTCAAATAGCATTTTCTTATGCGATGCTAGAGATTTAGGTGGTCTTAATATAAAAAACAGACTTCAAATGTTAGACATGTAATATATATAGATATTTGGTGGTAAACAAAGATTAACAAAAGCTCATCACTCCATTTTTTCTTTAACTTGGAGCTTTTGCAAAATAAATAATTACACAACTAAAAAAACATTTACAAGCTCTATGAAATCATACATACGCTTGCTTTACTAAATTAACCATGAACAAACGTCAAGGATTGGTGGAGAAATAAATATAAATAATAAATATAATAATAATCACAAAAGAAATTTGAGGAATATTTCAGCTGAGTATGGAACGTGCCTCAACAACTGATCTTGGAGGTTCCAAATCTTCGTCATGTATAGAGTTTCCTTGCAATGTCTGCATTTCTGAGGCAAAAACATCATCCAATATCTGCAATAGCCATCATCGTCTCACAACATCAGAACTTTTTTAATTGAGTAAATGGCAAAAATAGTTTATTGAAGTTTAATTTTTAGTCCAAGATCTTAAGATATTCAACTCTCAACTCAACTGATTTGGTAAACTAATTTAGGGTGTATTTGGGACCAATGCAGCTTTTTGTACAGGTGATTGTAAAGTTGGGGGAGGGAGGGGGGAGTAGTTTTTTGAACACCTATTTTAGCAAACCTGGCTGCAAAAATCAATTTCCCACTAAGAAAATTTCTAAAAAATAACCAAAGTAGTAGTTCACCAAAAATGCAGCTTCTCACTACAACAATTTTTTAAAAAAACCACAAGAAAAATAATTTTCCAAGCACAATTGTGGTGGCAGTTTGAAGTATAAAACAGATAGAAAGTTGTCTCAAACAGACCCTTAGACCTTGCTATTTCTTAAGATGTAAAAGCTCCATGAACACAATTTCCGTTAAAAAAATGACAATTTATGGTAGCATTAAATTAGTTTAAATTTGGTGGTTAAGGAGCAAAACTGACTACTTAAGAAAATCTGAGATTAAAGTTAGCACACACACCTCTAGACTTTTTTTTAATAATCTACTTCATTTAAATTAAGTTATTTAAAAATGTGTTTATTTGAAGAAGCAGATAGAGGTAAGATGAGGATCTCACCCCAAGAACATGACCAGAACCAGATCGTCTATACCATATCCTGTTCTCCTTCCGACTCTCAAGAAAGCTCAACACAATCTAACAAAAAAACAGCTCAAAAACTTTAGAATCCCAATAAAAATCCTCCATGAATAAAGATAAACAACTATTTCTTGCAGAAAAATTATTACCTGTCCCATTTTATCCCAAAACTCCCTGCAAATTTCTACAAAAATCTTTTTGGTGAAGACAGCATGCAGATTCCTTACAGAATCACTCAGCTGCAAGGACAGTGCTTGCATCCTTTCACGAATCTCAGCTTCTCCCTTCGTCTCCTTAGTTTCTTCAAGAATTTTCTTCAGCCTTGTGCTTTTGTTTGCCTCAGTCTACAAATTAATCATATTACGAATATTAATATCTTCAATTGTACATAAATTTTAGAAATAAACTGATTTAAATTAGAAAAACGATATTGTAACAAACATTATCCACAAGCATCCTTATGATAGCCTGCTTATAGTTCTTGTAATTTGTTCTTAACATGATTGTGATTCCATTAGTCCTTTCCCCAAAGCTCTCATTTTTATTGGAGAGTGTCCAAAATGAGGCAGAAGACTTAAGATTTTCTTCTATTCTGCAGTGATGGCCATCTAGTATTCTTTTCATGGTGTTTAGGAAGACTCCCAACTGTCACAACAAAACAATATGAGCCTATTTTAAAACCAAATTAACTCTTTTAATGCCATGAACAATAGTTTATAATCATGAGTTCTGCTACCTCATTTGGAATACTATAGGCTGCTGTAGATTGTTTTCTTGTTAGCTTCTGCATATGCTTCTCGATCTTCTTTGGAACTCCATCTTTTAGAGGCATCAGGACTTCGCTGTATTGCTTCTCTAAGGCCTTTATTATCGCTCGTTCGATATGGGCAACAGCCTGAGAAGATTATTCTTGCTTTAGTTTCAAAGAGAAGAAAGCGAAGAAGAGTGCATTAATTGTGCCATAATTTTCTTACACTTTCTAAGCTTAGCAAGTACTGTGGCCATCTGTTGACTACTACCTTGTACTCATTTAAGCTATCCATGATGTTACCATAAATGTCCTCCACGAAAGGCGACGTGGCATAATGAGTTGAAATTCCAGAGAATGAAATCTGCAAATGTTTTAAGAGATATATGATTCATGATTTCAGAGTTTTCAGAGTTTAAATTCCAGAGTAATGTAATTCTATGAATGAGCAAGGTGCCAAAATTTAATAGCGGCTGAACTGGTCTTCTTTTGGGATTATTTCAACCAATATTAGAAGAATCTAACTAAATTGAAACTATTTATAGACTATGTGACTAAAATGGCCGTCTGTAAAAATACAGGGGACCATTTTGGCACTTTCCACTACTATGAATTGAGTGGAGAAAAATAACCTTCTCTGCTTTGCAATTTTCAACCAACTGGTATTGAGTATCCTTGATCCAGGTCTCTATGTAATAATGGAATAGATCTCTTGAGATTACTCCTCCATGAACAGGGCTGTTGACAATGAATTATGAAACTGAGAGTAGCTTAACAAAGAAGGGGCATTTACATCTGACACCTAGATTTTGATTTTTACATTTCAAGCACATAATTATTTCATATTAAATAAAATATACAACTAATTTTAACTTTTAAAAAGTGAAATACACATTTTCATGCATAGGAGGCATATAAGTAAAAATTGAAGTTTAGGTGTCAGATATGTAAATATTTAAGAATTGAGTGGTAGGTATGTAAATCTTCCACTCCATGAAAAATTTTACATACTAAATATTTAAGAATTGAGTGGTAGCTATGTAAATCTTCCACTCCATGAAAAATTTTACATACTTGATACTCCACGAATTGAGATCTCTTTCAAAATCAGCAGTGGTAACTAGCAGTTCAATTACATGTGGTGCAGGTTTGGAAGGTGGAAAAGCTGATAGAAAATTTCTAAGCCTCTGACAGAGATGAACACTATATATAGAAGCAGCAATATTTGGAAGATCAATGCAGCTGGCAATAAAACAAAATTATTATTTAACAAAAGTTCGTATAATAGCTCATTATTTCATAATTTTTATGAGTAAATAATACCTGGGGAGTATGTTCTGGTTCTGAATTTTCATATCTGCTTGAATCTCACTGCTTATATTCAAACATAATATCCTCATTTTAGAATAAGCAGTTGAGATAGTTATTGGTTCAGTAACATCACAGTTGGCTGACATAAATTCTTCTGTATCTACCAAATATCTTCTGCACCTCTTTTCTGCAGCAGTCTTTAGAACAAAATGACATTATTTTAAATAAATTCTTCAAGGGAAAATTGTGGGCCAGTGACAGGTTATAGCTAACCTTGAGATAGTTTCTCAATATATTTTGAGCTTCTTGAGAGAGTATGTCATGTAGAAGGCTGAAGAGTTTTATTGCGGGAGTTAATGCAGGTGAAGCTGTTTCTGGAATTGGACCAAAGAAGTTCGAGAGTCCGGTCGAAGAGTTCTCATCCAAGGACTTGTAGTTTTGAAAAGTAGTTGCCAAGAGATTCTTTATTTGATCTTCACAGTCAAGTAAAATGCTTTTCTGTTTGACAAGAAATTAGAAATCTAAGAAATCTATAAAAATTTAATTTTTAGGAAAAGTTAAGTTACAAAAAGAACAGCACTCAACTCCTCAGAACTAATTTGTGAATTGTTGCCTTGTTACTAATATATAACATGTTAAAGTTGACACAGAACCTTAAAATTGCCTACAGTTAGTACAAAGTGAAAGGCACCATATTTTGCATTTGCTAGTTAATATTTTCATCTTAGAATATCTTAAGGGAGAATTAGATAACAAAAATTCATTTAACAGTAATCTTTCCAGTAAGGCAGAAAAAAAAAAAATGCAAATACCTCTTGTCTGGTGAGATTTCTTTCATTTCGAGCCTTGAGAACAGGTTCTAGTAATTCACATATTAGTTCCAAACATTCTTTAGTGGGTACTGAGATATTAATGATATATGACAAATACCTGTCGAAAGTATTTAAATAAATAAAATCAAAACATTTTATCACGTAGTCTTTGGTATTATTAAGTTGTTTTTTGATGTGAAAGTACCTAAGTTTCGTATATGCAGGAGTCACACCATAGTAGCTAGAGAACTCATTTAAAAGCCACTTCCATGGTCCATGAATCCGCAAATTTTTTGCATGGAAATCACAAGCACGCATAGATGCCTCCATTACGAGATCATAGACGAGAGTTTCTACAGGCGGACTAGCCTGCCGACATATAGAGTAGCAGATCTTTAATTTCTATCTTTACGAAACTTCAAACTGTGATATCCCATTGCATGTGGCCCATTTAGTCATAGAGTTTTTGCATTTCTTCAATTTAGTCCCCAATATCCAAAATAGTTTCTCATATAGAATTCATGACACAAAAAGACTCCAATTTAGAGAGTTTACCAAAATGAATCCCAATTTAATCCTTGAGCAACCAATTGAGATCAATTTTCAACAGCCGCGGGACTAAATTGGAGCACTGCAGAACTCACGGAAAAAATTGGCCACATTAAAATTGTCGGGGACCATTTTGGGATTTACCACAACGTCACAATTATTGTAAAGTTCTAACAGATTTCATGCTTTAGAATGGATAAAGCTGGATAAAAACCTTAGAGAAATTCATTCTATCAGAAGAGCTCCAAAAAACGCTTGTAGCTAGTTGAATTTTTCCTACAAAACCTTGATCCTCCAAGTACATTGGCCACCACTTCACTTTCTCTCCTTGCTAAATCGATAAAACAGCGTTTTTGAAATTAGTTTCATTGCAAACGTAGATTGCCCAGATTATTTGTGCAGAATTTTAAATCAGAAGTCAAGTCAAGGAAATTCTTACTTGTGCTTCAGAATTCAACAATGAAATTGGAATCTTTGCCTGACCAAGATTCACATTGTTGTTATCCTGGACCTGAATCAAAAGAGCGTCTCCTTGACTCTCTGGGTAACTGTAAGAATTTGCATATAATGTCAGTACCTTCATATAAAACAAACTAATATTATTAGATTTAAAACGACAATCCCTAGCTGCTATTACTTATTATTTGTGTATTATTCCCTTATTATGTATTTCTTATTTGCTTTTTTTCTTTCATATTTGTTTTATTCAGTTTTATTTCTTTTCTTTATTGTGTCCATGGTAAGTGGGTCTGAATACCATTCATTCTATCAATAATATTATGTTGCTCTATTTTTAAAATTCAACATGGCATCAGAGATAGATTCTAACCCTAGAACCCAGCCACCGAAAGCCTCTACAGCAGCCGCCATCTTTCCCACCGGGAGTTCTAGCTGCTGGTCCTCCTGGTTGTCTCCTACAGCCGCCGGTCTCCTCTGACTGGCTCCTACAGCCACCGGTCTCCCCAGCAGCAGTCCAACCATCCCCGCAAATTTATTGGGGTTCCCCGCAGCTCTCCTGCATCATTCCTGCAGCCTTCCTATAACCTCCCTACAGCCTTCTTTCAGCTTTCCTGCAGCCTTCTTGCATTGTTCTTGCAATTATTTGTCGACCAGTGATTTACAAATCTGTTAATGTCTCAGAATCCTAGCCACATCTCTTTCAGCTCATTCGGAATCATGGCGGACTACTCCAACAATGAGCCGTGAATCCTAGCCACATCTCTTTTGGCTCAGTCGAACTCCACAATGAGCCGCGAATTCTAGCCACATCTCTTTTGGCTCAGTCGGAATCATGGCGAAATCTTCCAACAATGAGCCGCCTTCAGAAGGTGTTCTTGATTTTACTGGGGGATCGAATCTAACCTTCGTTCCACTGCAAACCAGAGAACTAGAAACCAACATGAACTTCCTGATCATGATTCATAAACTAAATAACAGTAACTTTCTCCAATGGTCTCAAGCGGTGTCTTTATTCATCAAAGGACACGGGAAATTCAGGTACCTCACCGATAAGATCCTTGAACCTCGAAAAACCGACCTAACATATGGAACTTGGGAAGTGGAGAACTCCATGGTTATGTTGTGGCTGATCAACTCCATGGAAATGTAGATTGGTTGTTCATCTATGTTCCTCTTATCCGCTAGTGCTCTCAGGACGACAATTCGTGATACCTACTTGGTCGTAGAAAACTCCAGCAAACTCTATGAGGTATATAAGAAAATTTGAGAGGCAACTCAAGGGTTTAGGACAATAACCCAGTACAAAAATGGCCTGGTTGCACTTTACATGGAATGTGATTTGTACTATGACTGCATTTAGGAATCTCCGACCGACCTTTCTCTCTTTCAGAAAATATTAGAAAAGGATAGAATGTTCCAATTTCTGCCAGGCCTTAACAAAGATCTTGAAGAAGTTCGAGGTTGTATTCTTGGTGGAGATCCTCTTTCTTCCGCTCATACTGCTTTCATCGAGATTTGTCGAGAAGAAAACTGAAGACCTGTTATGCTAGACACCTTTAGTCTTTCAGCTGAATTGTTTGACTTGGTTTCAAATAGTTCTTAGCCCTCATCCATGACACCTTGGACCAGTCACCCCATTTGTTATTATTGTTACAAACCCAACCAAATTCGAGACAAGTGTCAGAAATAAACTGACAAATAAAACTTCGACCAAATCCTCTACTACCAAGGGTCTCATAGCGACGTCTGAGTCTACCACGGCTCAAGAGACTCCTATTTGGAACATCCTAGAATCCCCCGAATACCTGAAAACTAGATGGATCAATTGATCAAACTTCTTAGAGGAAATCAAATCTCAACAGGTCCATCGACCTCCCACATCTGATAAGATAATCTTTAAATGGCTTTTATCATTTATTCCTCCTTTAGTCCTTAGATTATTGATTTTTGTGCCACATATCACATGACTAGATATTCGTAAGCTTTCATGACTTACTATCCATACATTAGAAAAGATACAGTTAGAATTTTTTATGGCTCCTATAGTTTCATTGTTGGTAAAGTGTTTGTTGTACTAACGATCGATTTAACTCTGGAGTTTATATTACATGTTCTCTTGTTGCAATATAACTTGTTATTTGTCAATAATTTGACAAATGATAATAATTGTGCTGCTAATTTCTCTTCTGTTGGTTCTGCTTTCCAGGATCATCGTTCGGGGAGAATGATTGGAGCAGCTAAGAGGGTAGCTAGCCTCTACTACTTTCAAGTGAAGAGCAGAAAGAGTGAGGACACGCCATTTAGGAGTTATAGTTTATTTCAAGCCATAAAATATTCCATTATGTTGTTGCATTGTCATTTGGGTCATCGTAGTTTTATTTTAAAAACTTGTAACTTTTGATGTTTTTTTAATAAAAATCTTTCTAACTTCAATTATAAGACATATCAGTTAGCCAAGCATCATCGGGTCCATTACCCACCCTGAGCTAGTTTTAGTTTAAAAACTTGTATATTTTGATATTTTTTTAATAAAAATCTAACTTCAATTATAAGACATGTCAGTTAGCCAAGCATCATCGGGTTCATTACCCACCCCGAACTTACACACATCTTTCGCTCCTTTCTCCCTCATTCAAAGTGACATATGGGGACTCCTTTCTCCCTCATTCATAGTGACAAGAGCACAAAGAATGAGGACACGCCATTTAGGAGTTGTAGTTTATTTTGAGTCATAAACTAACCCGTTATGTTGTTGCATTGTCATTTGGGTCATCATAGTTTTATTTTAAAAACTTGTATCTTTTGATGTTTTTTTAATAAAAATCTTTCTAACTTCAATTATAAGACATATCAGTTAGCCAAACATCATCGGGTCCATTACCCACCCTGAGCTAGTTTTATTTTAAAAACTTGTATATTTTGATGTTTTTTAATAAAAATATTTCTAACTTCAATTATAAGACATGTCAGTTAGCCAAGCATCATCGGGTCCATTACCCACCCCGAACTTACACACATCTTCCGCTCCTTTCTCCCTCATTCACAGTGACATATGGGGACTCTCTCACATGTCCAGCTGCACCAATAAACGATTGTTCCTGACCTTGATTGATGGCCACACTCAAATGACATGGTCGACATTTTAAAAGATAAATCGAAGGTTGTTGTCACCTTCCAAAACTTTAACACCTTTGTTTTAACTCAATTCAAAAGCTCAATTTAGGTCATTCAGATTGACAATAGTTGTGAGGTTTTCAACTCTATTTTGGATTATTTCTTGACAAGGGCATCTTTCATCATTGCTCGTGTACAGACTCTCCTAGACAAAATAAGGTAATCGAGGGAAAAAAACTATCACTTCCTAACCGTTGTTTGCTACATTATGTTTCAATTCAATGTCCTGAAATAACTTTGGAATGATATCATTCTGATTGCCACCTATCTCATAGAAAGAGTCCCCTCTAAAATTTACAAGTTTTGAACCCCTTAGCCATTCTGATGTTTTGCTTTCCTACCAATGAAGGCTTTCTTCATATTAGATCAAAAGATTTTTTGGTGCACGATCTTTGTTTGGAACACTACCCCCACTCGAAGTAAACTTGATCCCAGATCTATAAAATGTTTCTTCCTAGGGTACTCAGCAACTCAAAAGGGATATCGGCATCTTGATCCTACCACAAAAAAAATCTATGTGGATGTTGATGTCACCTTTTTTGAAAGTGTTTCCTTTTTTCTAGCTCGGTCTCAAATGAGGGGAAAGCTCGTGTTCTCAAACATTGCCCCTTATCCTACTCCTATGGATGTTTCCCCCATTATTCCTATCACTAAGGAGTCCTCTGTTCCGTTGAGTGCACCATATCTTCCTCCCACTGTCCGTGTCTACACTCGGCGCACTCGTCTGAATGCTCCTACTTTGGACCCTGTTACTTTCTTACAGGACCTTGACTCCTCTCCGAGCGACATCATCAGCACGAGCCCTTCTCCAAATGAGGAAGAAAGTTCTCCGAGTGAGGTACGCAATCATACATGCTCCCTCTATTCTATGGAAAAATATGCTCTTTCCAGAGTCTATCACCGACCTACAAAGCATTTGCTACTGCCCTGACAGACCATCAGATCCCAACTACTGTTGAGGTTTCCCTTGTTGATCAAACTGGAAAATGACAGTAATGAAGGAGATGAATGCCCTTCAACAGAACCATACGTGGGACATTGTCGATCTTCCTTAGGGTAAGAAAGCTGCAAGGTGTCGATGGACTTTCAGCACCAAGTTCAACTCTAATGAATCCTTTGAAAATAACAAGACAAGATTGGTCGTTAATGGATACTCACAAACCTACGGAGTTGACTATGAAAAGACATTTGCTCCAGTAGCTAAGTTAAACATTATTCAGGTCTTGTTGTCCCTTGCGGTGAATTTGGATCGGCCTTTATTCCAACTAGAGGTCAAGAATGTGTTCTTGAATGGAGAGCTTACAGAAGAGGTGTACAACTCTCTCCCTCCTGGCTTTGACTCTCCTTCCACCAGAGGGCAAGTGTGCAGGCTAAGAAAGTCCTATGGATTAAGGTATTCCCCAAAGGCTTGGTTCGAAAAATTTACAAAGTTGTTTGTGGGTCATGGCTTTACTCAGGCTCAATCAGATCACACCCTCTTCTTCCGGCATTACTCCAATGACCAGGTAGCTATCTTTATTGTCTATGTTGACCATATTATTCTTACAGGTAGCGATCTTCAAGCATTCGAGTCCTTGAAAGACATTCTTGCGAATTCCTTTAAAATGAAGGACTTGGGATCTTTATGGTATTTCTTAGGTATGGAAGTGGTACGGTCATCTCAGGGCATTTGCCTGTCTCAGCGCATAAATGTGATTGATCTCTTGATAGAGAGCAATCTTCTTCAGTGCAAACCTGTTGTTGTTACAATAGATTCCAATGAAAAATTATCCAAAATCTCTAATATTGTATCTGTCAACTAGACTCATTATCATTGCCTTGTGGGAAAAGTCATGTACATCACTCTTACTCACCCCGACATGTAACGGAGTTGGTATAGTGACTCAATTCATGCATGACCCCTATGAGCACAATTTCCAAGCTGTCCACCAGATTCTCCACTATTTAAAACGTACCCCAAGCTCAGGTTTGTTTTTCTCCTATCACACCACTTGGTCTATTGTTGTGCCCCAAGCTCAGGTTCGTTTTTCTCCTATCACACCACTTGGTCTATTGTTGTTTATACATATGTTATTTGGGCGAGATCGATTAGCGATTGACGTTCCACGTCGTGGTATTGCTCATTTATATGGGGCAATCTTGTGACATGAAAAAGCAAAAGACAGTCTGCGGTTGCCCAGAGCAGTGCTGAAGCTGAATTCCAGTTGTGTCATTGGGAATATGTGAAGCTCTCTAGTTACGCATCATGCTCCGCGAACATAGTATGCCAACCTCCATTCCACTGCAGATATTCTATAATAATAAGGCTGACATCAGCATTACCACAATCCAGTCTAATATGATCATACCAAATATATGGAGATTGACAGACACTTCATTTAGGAAAAGAATGAATTTGGAAAAATTTGTTTTACTTTTGTGCCCTCCCTCCAGCGGTCAACTAGCGAACATTTTCACCAAGAATCTTCCCCGTCCATTGTTTGATGACTCCAAATTCAACTTGAACATGATTGATATCTATGCTTTAACTTGGGGGGAGGGGTGGGGTGAGAATATTAGATTTATAAAGGCAATCTCTAGCAATTATTAATTATTATTTGTTTATTATTTTATTTCCTATTTGTTTTATTATGATTTTTTATGTTTTATTTCTTTCCTATTTAATTTATTTTGTTTTATTTATACAATAACAACAAAAAAACCTTTATTCCACTAAGTGGGGTTGCCTACATGAATCCTTTTCCTCCATTGTGTCCTATTTAGTGTCATATTTTCATTTAATTCTAGTAAATTAAGATTATGTTTTATACAATATGCCCAAGTCTTCCAAGGTCTACCCCTTTGCCTTTCTTAACATAAGTCGAATCTAAAACATCTATTCTTCTAAACGGATCATCAAATGGTCGACGTTTAATGTGATCAAACCATCTAAGATGACTCTCTCATTTTGTTCTTCACTGGGGTTACACCAACCCTTATCACTGATATATTCATTTCGCATTCTGTCTCTACGTGTAAAGCCACTCATCCACCTAATCATTCTCATCTCGACAACACGTAACTTAGTTTTATACTTCTCTTTTAAAGGCCAACATTCAGCATCATAGAGCATTGCAGGTCTCACCACCATCTTATTAAATTTTCTTTTCAGTCTAAATAATACTTTTCTATCACACAATAGGCCCGAACCATTCCTCCACTTCAACCAACCAACTTGAATTCTATTAACAACATCCCCATCAATATCACATCACTTTGAACAATAGACCTGAGATATCTAAAGCGTTCACACTTTTTAATAATTAGATCACCCATAGTTGCATTTCTGTCACTAGAGCTACTACTACTAAAATTATATTCCATGTATTCATTTTTAGTTCTACTCAAATGAAGGCGTTTAGACTCCAAGGTAGACCTCCATAATTCAAGTTCTTCCTGAATTTTTTCTCTCGTCTTATCCACGAGAAGGATAACATCAACAATTGTGTCTATTGTAATTGGGTTTAAATAACCCTCCTTCTATCAATAATATTATGTTGCTCTATTTCAAAATCCAACAAATATAACAGCGTAAATAAAAATTTTAGAAATTTTTAAAACTTTTCTTCTATGGAACTTACAAGATATGAGACTCTCCAGTTCCAGGTGTGAACCAGAGTGGGGAACTCACAAGTTCTTCACAAGAACTATATAGTTGCAATAAGCATGAGAAAGCTTCTGAAATAAGATATAAATTTTAGCAACGTTGTCAACAACAACAAATGCAAAAAACTAAAGAGCGGATTATTTTTATAACCTTTATGAGTAACTGAAACTGAAGTTGCTTTTAGTGTATTGATCTTATTCTTTAAGAATTCAGTCGCATGATGAACATATTCAGCACTGGCTTGCATTACTAATTTTGGACTAGAAGAGTCACATCGAAGCTTTGGTCTTTGTGCCACAATACGAATTTTTTTCACTGTTACAGTAAGATAAATGTCAGAAACATGATATTTTTTTGGTTTGAATCTTTAATGTAGAATCTCCAAACCTGAGTGCTTATCTTCCATGAACAAAAGACATAACTCAAAGAAAATATAAATTCACTGAGATGCTTGTAGTCTAACCTTCCACCTCTATTTTCCAAATTTCTTTTCTCTCTTTCCTAGTGCAAGTTCCATCAGCACAAGTTATAGGCCTTCTTTCCCCCAGAGCATTGCCTTTTGGTTGCAGCAGATACTTCTGAATCCTATTTTACAACATTTGATTTCATCAGGGCTATACAGCATGGTACATTTGAAATAAGGATTAAGAAATTATGATAAAAAAGTACAAATTTTAAGCATTGGAGTCATGCTTTAGATATAACTTACCCAAAGGCATCCCGTAGCATCATGCATTCATCTCTAAGAAATTCTGGGGCCTCCACGCAGTTCCTTGCCCAAGCATACAAGCACAGACGGAAACATGCATCATAGGCAACAAAAGATTGCCACGAATTTTCAGCACTGTAAATTCATGCAAAGAATTGATGAAAATTCTGTAAGAATTTATAGCTAGAATTTATAGCTGCAGCTGCTATATTGTCAAAATATTATCTCGGCATAACGATCAAACCTGGAAGTATAGTCTTGAGATCGAATAGACAATTTATTCTGCCAAGAATAAGTCTTCTCGTCTCTCTCCACTGAAATGTTCCCAGTAGATACTCCGGTTCTATATTTGTTGGAGGGTCAATGTTATAAATTTGTCATTTAAGTATATGAAACTAGTAAAAATGTAGTCTTTGTAAGAGTTTTACTGTGATGGCGGGTATTTTGTATCTTGAATCTGACATTCTAAATCTGGGGAGACTTCAAAGCTTTCTGATTTTACTTTTCCTATAGGAATGTAAGCACATTGAATAAAAGCTCGTATTTGATAAATCATTAGCTTTTGCTGCTTACCTTCTTCACCAAAGATGCTTTCTTCTCTTCCACAATCCGTGATTGGAGGAGCACTCGGCGTTCCAAGTTCTTTAAACCCTTTGGGCAAGTAATCATCATGAAGGTAGCACTGATGTAGAAGCACAGGAGATATTAATAGGTTAATGTGTGAGTATTAATCATTTAGGAGAGACTTACTGTTGATTCAGTGAAGACAACATGCTCGTGATTAGGGAAATGGGCACTGGAAGTTGAGCTCGTATCTAAGAAACCACCATTTAAAGCCAGCTCCACCTTTAGGTTCTCTTTCGATGGTCCTCGGACGAGAGTACGCCTTAATGTTCTACTTTGAGCTTTTATTGATTCATCACCGGTTGATTCAGATTTGGATTTGAGCTCTTCCTCATGGCTGATGTCTTTTGCTTTCCAAAATAGATAAGAGTCACTTGACTCCATGCCATCCTCTTCGAATGTGTCTGAATAAGAAGCACAATGGCCTCCAGAAATTGAGGCTATGCTTTCATTGTCATCCTCAGAATCTTCAGTATGGGTACTAGGATGAATCCCTAGGAAGCCTGAGTGAAATTTCACAGGTGGTAGAACTTTGGGTGATAGGAAGCTGCTGCTTTTGTGCAGCAGTGGCAAGTTTGAGATGCTACCCAATGGACATTTCTCTATCAGGGGTCTAGATTGTTGATCTCCAACAGATACCTGAAAAATAAGATTTATCATTCGTGTATGACACTTTTTTACTGTGAAGTCTAATTTCATTAAATATTTTGAATAATATTTGTTCTAGATTTTTCAGGATTTGTGGCTACAATAAAGTCCTAATTGAAGGTTATCAGAATGTCTTAAATAGAAGTTACAATATCTAAATTGAGGCTATGGTGAAATCTTAAATGAAAGTTACCATAAAAGCTTATAATAGAGACAACCAAAGTGGTCAGTGGTGGTTGATAATTAATATTAGAAATAAGCTTTTCACTATATGAACCCATTTAGTATCACTTGTCTCAAATCACAAGAAGCAACAAAGAGAGGAGAGGAAAAAGAGAAGAAGAGGAGTGTCATCCAGGAAAGAAAGGAAGAAGACTTTTCGATGATTGTAAATAAGATTTTTCTACTTATTCAAGAAAAAAGAAGTCTAGCCCTTATCTTTAGAATAGGTGATTTCATTTTCTATTAACTAGCCAAAGTAATATCTTTATCTAAATCTTCAATTTTTCTTGACATAAAATTTTTCACATGTTTCTTTTAAAGTTTAGTGGACTATTTAATCTCTATGCAATTATAGATACAAGCTTATTTAAGCAAAGCCTAAAATTTTTTGTATTTTTATGTATGTATTTTGGTTACTCTTTTGTTTGTAACTTGTGATTCGTCATACCTACCTTTAGATTAAGAGCACTTACTTTCCTAATGACTCTTATGAGAAAAAAGACTTGAAAATTATGATGGCTAAAAAGTTTGATATTAAGAATTTTAATAGAAAGAAAGATTTCAGCCTTCGAAGAATTAATATGTGTGGTGTATTTATCTAACAGAGAATTCTAAAAGCATACAATAGAAGATACTTGAATTCATAAGTCTAGAAGATAAAATAGAGATGAATGAGAAGGTTTTCTCAAAGATTCAACTATGTTTGATGAATGAAGTCTTGATAAAGGTCTTAGAAGGTTTATAGTTCAAATTAAAATTCTTGTACATGATCAAAAGCATTTTTAACAAATTTATCATATGTAAAGACTATTTAGAAGGTTTATAGGCAATTTTAACAAATTTATCATATGTAAAGACTATTTACTTAGCATATAAGAAAGTATACCTATTAAACTATATTTGAATGAGTTTATTTCCTTCCGTGAGATCTAAAGAATATTGATATTATTATTGGTGGTGAAAATCAAGCTTCATCTCTGTTGTGCTCCAACATTTAAAAAGGCAGAATCTGAAATTGAAATGTTTTACCTTAACAAGGCAAGGCATAAATTTTCAACATTTTTTAAGCTTATTATGGCACCATATTTTTTAAACAATGTTGTGCTCCTTACCTTTCACATATAACTACTTTTGAGATGTTATATTTACATGGTTGTGATGCAATATGCTTAAAAATATAAAAAAACTTAGTTCTTTAAAAAGAGAGAATTTTTAAGCTCCAAGGAAGCAAAAAGTCTGCTGAACTTTTCTTTCAGAGTATAAGAAAATCTCACAAGTGATAAAACAACTGAAGGTTTATTGCAAATTAGAGAGAAATTAAATTAGTAGGTTATTTCCTAATTATGGTAGGAATAAATGTTAGACTAAATTTAAAAAAAAGGTTATTAATTTCAATGGTAACAAAAATGAGAACATATATGTGCATTATTTATCTTTAAAGAAGAAAGAACAAGAAGCAAATGACAACCACAAAAAAATAAGTCAATTAATGCAAGTATTGTTATATAAGTATGATACAATAGACTTGGAGGATTTTTTTTTCCTTAAAAGCAATCCTATTAAACCCCTAGAAAGTGATAAACCAACTAAAGGTTTATTGCAAACCAGAGAAAATTTAAATAAATGAAGGTTATTTCCCAATTATGGTAGGTATAAATTTTAGAGTAAATTTAAAAAAGGTTATTAATTTTAACAGTAAGAAAAAAGAGAACATATATAAGCATTATTTATCATTAAAAAAGAGAGAACAAGAAGCAACAACCAAATAAAGATAAGTAAATTGATGCAAGTACTGTTATAGATTATATATATTAGAATTAAATTGGTGATGCTCTTTTGGTGATATAGGATAACAGATGTAAGAAAGTATCAAATTTTAGACTCAACATACTCTAATCACATATATATTAATTTAGATATATTTTTCACATGTAAGTAATATCACTTGTTATATTTATATTGAAAATAGAGCTATATGCAAAATTGGAGGTTTGGTCATTATGAAATTAAAGTCACATGGAGACACAATTATGTTATTTGCTATGGTCAGATGTGTACAAGACTTAAGAAAATAATTCAATAACTTCAATCATTTTTAGTACTGTAGGATTAGATTCTTTGGTGATGCTAACTCTCTTAAAGCCAATAAAAGTGTGTTAGTTGCTTAAAGGTGAATAGAATTAGTGAACTATATGAATTGTAGACTACAATTTTACACACTTATGTGCTGGAATTAATAACTAGGATGACAACTCATGGAAACAAAAATAATACTAAAAATATAACATCATGAACCCAAAAAGTGAGAGTTGTGTGAAATATATTTCTTATGATTCTGAAAAAGCAATTTAAAATAATTTTATTATCAAGTGAAGCTCCCAAAAAATAACATGACAGATTAAAAATTATAATAAAATGTCAACATAATAATAATGTAAGGTTTAATTTGTTTGGCACTTATGAACTAAGATGTTACAAAGTCTTAATTAACAATCATAGCTAATGACATGAGGGTACCACATAAAGAAGTATTCAAGTACATTGAAAATGTAGACTCCAAATGAAAGATTGTTAAGTGTGGAATCTAATTTCATTAATTAAATTAGATATTTATTCTTAATTTTTATGATTGAGGAATACCATAAAATCCTAATTATAAGAGAGTTAAAAAAAAATTAAATAGAAGCCACCACAAAGTCCTAAATTAAGGTTATCATAAAATCTTAATGGAGGTTACCATAGAAGTCTACAATGGAGGCTACAAAATGCTTCAATAGTGGTAATAATTAAAATTAAAAATTGAACGCTGCACTCTATAAACTCATACAATTCTTATTTATTTAGCATATACAAAAGAGGGGAGAAAAAGAGAGGAATAGGAAGAGAAAAAAGAGGAGTGTCATTTGAAAAAGAAAATAAGTTATCTTATGACTGCTTGCAAATATAGTTTTTTTATTTCTTTTAGGAAGAGGTAGTTTAGTTCTCATTTTACAGTAGGTGATTGTATCTTATCTCTTAGCTAGATAAATTAATATCTTTATTAATATCCTCAATATTGAATAAAGGGTATTTCTTCATATATCTCTTTTAAAGTTTAGTGGATTAATTGAGTCAATGTGCTTGCATTTTATCTCATAGCTAGGTGAAGTAATATCTTTATTAATATCCTCCATTTTGAATAGAGTATATTTCTTCATATATCTCTTTTGAAGTTTAGTGGACTATTTGAACTCAATGTGCTTATGGACATAAATTTATTTAAGCAGAACTAGAAAAACTTCGGTGGTCTTTTGCAAATTTTATTTCTTTTCAAACTTTGCTCCTTAGGGTTCATTATACTTGCCCGTAGATTGAGGCTAATAATTTTTTTCCGAACAACTTCCTCCTAGAATTTCAGTATAACCCACTTTAAAAAGCACATGAAGAGATAACCTGGAGTTCATTTGGTTACATGTACATAGAAAAAATAATTTGTTTGTAAGAGACTATTATATTTGATCCCATGTATTTGGAGAGGGCTTGCGGAGCTTAAAATCAATGTAAATTCTTAACTACATCCAATTAAATGTTATTTATTAAAAAACTCATTGCTTTCCAAAACAATTTTTTTTGGCTCCAACTTCAAGCAACTAATTAGGCCGCCAAGGAATAATAATCAATGCCAAAAATGAGATACTATTCATCAAACGTTTGGTCGAGGTTCTCGATCAACCCTTGGCTTCTGAAAGAAAATAAAATGATAAAGTATCACATCGTTTTTATCACTATTAAAACACGAAAACAGCTGAGCTATATGAATGAAGCGTCGGACTAATCTCTAATGAAGAAAAAATGAAGTAAAATAACAACCAGGCCGTCGCTCAACGCAGGAAGTAGAGTAGTTCCGCAAAACTAGAGCCGAAAAAATTTCGAAAACAAAGCACAAATGTATGATTTTTTGCTTTCTTCCATAAAAAAGGGCAGACCAAGAAAAAAACGTGAGAAAGGGACATAGAAGATTCAACAGAAACTAAGAGGAATCAAACGGTTAACAGACAACAGAAAAATAGTCGTTGTTCTTAGCTGGAAGGCAAGAAGGCAAGTGCCCATCAGCAATGAGAGAACAATTAAATTTCTGGAAGCCCAAATCCAACTACAAAGTACAGAGACATTTAAAGCATTGATTTCCAGGTGATAAAACAGTTTAAGAAAAGCATTTAGTATGAACAAGCAGGAGTTGGCTCAAATCAACGAAAGCCCACAACTTGTGGGACAACGAAAACCAAAGCAATTCAAGCAAATGGCATGGCAAGTAACCAAACCAAAAAACCCTAAAGGGCCAATTAAAGGAACAGGATCGATAAGCACCAAAGCAATTTCCTTAACGCGATTGAAAATTTTAATTTAGGGCTTTACCTGGTTGATCCAATTGATGGCGTTATCGTCAAGCCCCTCGGTGAACATTTTTTTTTGTTGGCTTCTCCGTCTGCTTCTTTACTGGTAGACGGAGAGGGAGAGAGAGAGAGAGAGAGAGAGAGAGACTGAGAGCTCGAGCTAGCAGAGAGTAGCGAAGGTGGGGAACGTTGAGTTTGATCGGCTGGTAACGGCTAGTCGGTAGGACTGCTGTTGTAAGATTTGAATCGCTTTCTTTGGAGTATTTTAATGTTATTCAGATAAAAAAAATAATAATAATTTATTTAAAGTACAAAAAAATTGTTGCTGCTCTTGCCTCCTTAGGCTAAGGAAAATTTATTGTCTCATAACTCCGCAAGGTGAGTTGCATGCGGAGTCGAACGAGAGGAGCCCAAGTGGAATTGAGTCCCACTGTATATTAAAATTTTAAAAAAACATAATTAACATGACTCGACCCAGATTACCGTGTTGAAAGATGCGTTTTTTAGTGGGACCTGGCCCGAATTTAGCTCGTCGGAACTCCGAAACAGGCAAAAAGTCACTTTATGCTAGATTTGGGTGATTTAGGAGTGTTTCTTTGTTTTTGTTCGTCGAAAGAGACAATACGTCATTTTTTTTTCTACGGAATTTTCGTCGGCTCGCATTCGGAGTTCTTCCACCTCTTCGGCTGCTTCGAGCGTTCTCCATTCGGCCGGCGGTGGTAGTGCTTCTCCATACAGTGGTTTCTCTCTCGATGATACGACAGTTTCTCTTTAACGGTAGTGCTTCTTCATTCGAAATGAAAGGTCAGCTTAAAAAAACGCATCATTATAAGTGTTAGTTCTCATTCGAAATGAAAGGTCGGTTCAACAACAACAAGTCATTTTTGTCTTTCTTTAGCAAGCAAAATGGAAGGTGGCAATGGTCTGGATGAAGAAGCTAGCGGTTTCTCGAAGTCGTTGAGGTAATACAATATCTATTTTAGAGAAAAAGTTGAAGTTATAGACTTGTTATATTCGTGTTATAGTCGTGTTATTATCGTGTTATTGTGTGTTATAGATGTGTTACTGTTGTGTTATGCTGTTATAGATGAGTTATGGATGAGTTAAGATGAGTTATAGATGTGTTATAGATGTATTATTGTTGTGTTACGTTATTATAATTGTGTTATACATGTGTTATAGATGTGTAATGAATGTGTTATGGATGTGTTATTGTGTGTTATTGTATGTTATAGATATGTTATTGTGTGTTTTTATTATGTTATGCTGTTATAATTGTGTTATAGATGTGTTATACATGTGTTATTGTGTGTTATTGTTGTGTTATGTGTGTGTTATTGTTGTGTATTGTTGTGTTATGTTAATATGATTGTGTTATAGATATGTTATAGTTGTGTTATAGATAAGTTATGTTAATAACACAATCATAACACAATGATAACACTAGCATGACACACAATAACACAACAATAACACATCTATAACACTACCATAACACAATAATAACACAATATAAAACAACTGTTACACAACTATAGCTCATATGTAATACAATAATAACTGAACGATAACATGCATATAACACAACAATAACTCATCTGTAACAAGACAATAACTCAACTGTAACACAACAATAACTCATCTGTAATACAACAATAATTTAACGATAACACACATATAACACAACAATAACACATATGTAACACAACTATAACATATTTGTTATATGAAAATATGTGAATGAGGAATGTTATATATTAACTAATATTTTTTTCCTTATGTTTGTTGTTGTAGGTATATGAACGCTAGAATGTTCAATCGTAAATGTCATTCTTCTGTAGTGAGGGAAGCACTCGATACTGTTAGACACATTGTACCTGAAGAGACCATGAATTTTTTAAGAGAAATAAATGTCAGTCAGTTTTTTAACAAGCCTCATTATCCCTAAGATAACGTGTTGACTTTGTGTATCATGGGATTTTAGAATCATGAAGGAAGAAGAGCTTTCGTGATGAGTGGGAAGTTGATAAAACTCCACTCGACCATGTTGCGTTGTTGTTAGGCATGCCAAATAGAGGAGAATTAGTTAGTTGGAGGAAAACTCCCTCATCTTGTGTAGATGCGATAGAATCTTGTGTAGATGCAAGAGCAATAAAGGAAGATGTGACTAAGTTTTCAAGAGAGTCTTCCACTCCTTTTGAACAAATATAATATTTCTTAAGTTTTTACTAATAAATTTATTCTTTCCCTCGAGCAATTTTGGTGTGCTCGCAGGGCTTTATGCATTTGGGGAGAACGTATAGACCTTCTCTTCATTTAGCTGGCCTGCTGCTATCTATGATTATATGATAGATCAAATGAAATTTGTTGCGATCAAAATAAAGCAGAATCAACCACTTAGTTACATAAGTGGTTTTGTTTTTCTTTTATTTGTAAGTTCATATTGTTCACATTCAAAAATTTTCCTTTTCACTTATTGTTTTTGTTTTTTCTTGCCTTCTAACAAATTGGTTTTTGATATGTGTCAACTGCAGCTTTGGTTTTTTGAGCACACTACTCTGTTTACTCCTGGTGCACTTGAGGCTAGACCACACATGCTGAGATGGCCAAAAATTCATGGTTGGACGGCACCACAGATTCAAGAAGCCTTTAGGGTGCTCGATCATGTACATGTAAGTAAATTTATTTGTTATAATATTTTATTTGGGTAAGTTTTGTTATTATGTTGGTTTAATAACATTGTGATCGTTAATGTTGGTTAATGACACATTCATCGACTTGAAGGATGAGCTCCACTTATTTTCTAATCCTGACCATGGACCACCCAGCCCTGCTATGACTCTTCCTCGTACTGCTCGTCTTGAAACTCCGGTCAGACCGCCATCACCCAAATTATAAGGTGTTGGTCCAATTATTTCAAACGAGGTAACCCCAGAAGCAACATATAGAAGGGGAGGAAATGAACTTGAAGGAATAATCGAGCTATATAAAGCTCAGGAGAAAATAAGTTTAAGTTTACATGAATCTATGTTTACTATGAATAAACAAATGGTTAATGTTGAAGATTCATTGTCCACTCTAACAGCTATGGTTAAGAGATTAGAAGAAACTAAAGCTGATAAAGATCATGCAAGTCTCCGAAAGAGTAATTCCAAACATGTGAAAAGGAAAAGGAGTAGAATTAATAAGAATTTACCTATTCATATCGAAGAGCCCGCTGAAGTTCTCGCTGCTCTGGATGACACATTAGAAGAGCCCGTTGAGGTTGTTACTCATGATCTTCTTGGCTCTCTGTCTCATACGGTAAGTAACTCAGTCGTTCCATACAATAGCTTATTCGATCATACTTGATATTTTTAAGAATTTTTGTTTTTTTTTGTTGGTTCGTCTTGTGTTGTCCGTTGTAGATACTGAAGCCAAGAGGGGCAAGATCAAATAATTGCTACACAGAACAATGTTGTAACAAGGGACGAGCCACTGCCGGAGGAACATGATGAACTCAAAGGAAAAACACATCATGTTCTAAATATTGTGTCATTTACTGTAAACAACTCATTTTATAGTGTTCTCCATTATTTAACTCAAAAATAAGTTTAAAAACTTTTGTTCTTTTTTTAGGGTCATGTTGCACCTGTTGTGGATACAGAAGACCCAAAGGGCCAACAATCGGGAATAAATTTGGAACTGCCAGTTTTTCAAGAACCTCAAGCAATAATGGTGTCAGATGTACTGTCATTTGAGGCAGAGACAACTCCGACTCAAGCCGAAGAAAATCTAGAACAGATTGCAATGACTCCCACTAGTTTAGGTACCTTTACAATCAAACAAAAACTGCAAAGTAACCCAGTAGTGATCACTAGCCAGAGCACCAGTTCAATTGCTGAGAGCCATTTGATAGTGGCATAAAAAATAACCTCTTTATATTTCAATTTTGTAGTTAGAGTTTATATATATTTTTTATTCTATAGCCTCGTATTGTGGCATCTTACCTAGAATATCCTGGGAGATCATTCATACCACGTGAGATGCAAGATGTTATTGATGAATGCATTACTACATACACAGGGATGTAAGTAACTTTTGATTGCAGCTTTTATGTTATTCAGATTATGCAGAAGTTTAATATTCAAATAAGACAATCTTTCTTTATTAAATATGCAGACATGATTTTCTTGAAAATAAAGGTTTTGGGAGGGCAATTGACCGAGGCGGCCTAGAGGATGTATTGCTAAACGGGTGGTTTGAAAACGAACATGTTGATGTTTTTGCTGACATATTGTGTGAGAGAATTGTCAGTTCACCTGAATTAAACAGGTTATACATATTTATAACGTCACAATATTGGGTAATTGCAATTATTTTATTTATCCATATTTATTTGCCTCGACACAATTCAATTTATCATCTTCTGCAGATACATAAGAATTTGGATAGTGCAACTTTCGTGAAACACATCACAAAGGAAAGTATAATGGAAGCACAAGTTATATTATTTCATATCATTAATAACAACCATTGGACTTTGTTGATGAGAGAACTGAAATTGAGAAAATGGAAATTGTATGACTCTCTGTCCAACAGTGTGCATAAGGATGTTGCCCACTAAGTTGTAAGTATATTACTAAAGTATTACACACCAATAACACCCAATATCACAGAAATAAGACTCTCATAACCTTTGCAGGTGAAACTATTTGCAAAGGATGCTACAATGTCTTTTCCTAGAGCCAAACCTGCCACTTGGGGACTTACACTTGTTAGGGGTGTACCAATGCAAAGTAATAGCGTTGATTGTGGTATGTTCGTAAGCAAATTCATGAAAAATTTAGTGTTAGCATAAGCACAATAGACTGATTGGACCCCATATCTAAACAGACAGGAAAACATAGAGAGATTTAGAACAGAATTTGCCTACGCCTTGTGTATGTGGTCCAAGAATAAAACAGATTAAAAATGTACAATTATGTAGTAAATTAATATTTGTGCTATCAGAGAAAACCATATATAGATTGCTTCATGTTTTTTGTTGTCTCTTTCGAATGCAAAAATGAATTTCGAAACTGTATTGTTTTTTTCTAAAATTTATAGATAATATATGATTTACTATGTTAAGAAGTTACTATTTTAAACACTTTTATTTTCAAAATTCAGGTTATAATGTCATATAACAAGATAAATTTAAAAATAAAGCGTCAATATTGCATATAACAC